ATTGAATGCTTAATTAACTTAAAATTAGGGCATTAGGAACAGTCTATTGTTTTGGTACTCAATCTCCTGTGTCATCTGAGAATGCAGCAGCTTGTTTTGTTTACAGTCTGGATGAGGTAATGAAATATCAAAGATAAACCTTCGCTGTTTATGCTATGCATGTTGTGCTAAAGCACATGCCATGTTTGAGAAAAACAGAATGAAATTCCTATTGCAAATACAATCTCATTTAAAACTTGTTGCGCTTGCTGTGAATATACTGCTCACTTTGGGATTTCCTTATCTGCCTTCACGGGCATGATCCTATGTCAGCAACCAGGAAAGGAGGTAATACTCTGCACTGACAGTGCCATGGTTTAGCTGTGTCCCTGGCTGTCCCACTGAATTCAGAGTCTTGTGAAGTATAGTTGCCAGACTGTTTGCACTAATAATTCTTGTGCAAGTGTTTCACTAGACTCCTGTCTGTCAAAAATTCACTGTTAACTGTTGAGAGTAGTTGCTGTCCTTTGGGGAGGAAGAGGTAATCTCAAATGCTAACACAGCAGAATGCATCAGGCTAGGTTATAATTTTTGATTCCTCTAACCAAGCAGATCATCTTTGCTCATGATCTCTGTCAAGTCAGTGGTACTCTGCTGAAAGATCATTAAAGGTTTGGATACTTTTTTTGGTCTGTATTTGTTTTGCAGAAGTTCCTTTAACATTCAGCATTGTGTTGTTATTAAGAATATTGCTCAGCGATTAAATCTAGGACAGATGAAGTAAGCCCTACTCTTAATTAAGATTCTTGGCATTTATATCACTTGTGCTAGTGGGTGCTGGGAGTTTATTTAAAATGCAAGTCATTGGTATATCAGGGGTGGACTTTGTAAAGATAGAAAGCTGGCAGCAAGAGAAAAATTGGAGTTGGATTTTGAGATTTACATCCTTGGCATGTTTTTTAAAGTGTTCTCTTTTTATGGAAGTAAATAATTTTTCTTCAGCTCTTAATATATAGTACATTATGTATCTCCATAAATGCGAAGTGTGTTTCATATTCTCAGACCAAGAATTCCCCTAGTTCCTTTGTTTGGACATCACAAAGCAGAGAACTGTGTTTTACTGCTCCAGTGGCGATATATGCCTGGCCCATCACCTAACTGGAGGAGGCACTCAAAGCCTGAAGTACAAATACTGGCTTTCTGGCAGTAAGTGACAGGCCAAAGCTGAAAAATTGTTGGGTGTCTCACACTGAAGAGATTTTCTATCTGTGATAGACACAGAGCATAGCTGGGAACCTCTTGGTTTATGCTTACCATGTGACCCGTTGAAGATACTCTCCCAGAAACAAAACACTATGACAAAGTTTCTAGCTTCTGACTAAAGACAATTTTAGACATTGTTTGGGGATTTTTGCAAGAGGCTAGTGCAGTAAACACTGTTTAACATCTCTGGAATAGTAGTTCTGCACTAATGTAGCAAAAAAAAAAAAAAATCTCTGACTCAAACCAGTACAAAGACTTGGAGGTTTTGCCTTGATTCTACTGTGAGATTTTCCCAAATGAAATTTATCTGGCTGTGTATCCATAGTTTGAATCTTTCAGGGTTCATGGCTGTTTATGTAGCTGAGGAAGGCTGGTTGTTTTTCCCTTCTTCCCAGATGTAGGCATTTGGCACACCCTAGGAATACAAAGCGTTTCTTTTATGCACAGTGTGTTATTTTTAAGCAGTCTTTCCAGGGAATAGAGCAACACCAGGGTATGATGCTTAGAATTCCCATGTGGAGGAAAATTAGCTCATCTGAAAAAGCTGCCCAGTACATCAAAGTCCTTACTTGAACTATCTGCTGCATGTTTATGTTTGGGACATAATGCATGCACCCTGTTGACACTGAGAATTGCTGTTAGATAATGCTTTTTTTCTTAAATGTCACACCGACAAGACAGACTCTGAGCTGTTAAAAATGATGATGCAGATATTAACTCATTCTGTTGAATATGAGAGGGTTTACATATGCATTACCAGAAGTACTTAAATATTAAAGGCTGCATAAATTAACTGGGTTATCAAACTAAAACGATGAAAGGCAAGGAATGGGCTAGGAGGGCAAGACAACAGCTGATGTAGGAGGGAATATGCCAGAGAGGCTGAAAAATTGTATGGCAAGATGTCACTCTAGACTGAGCAGCTGGGAGTTCAGAGACAGCAAATGGAGTTTCAGTGTTCTGAATTTATGAATTGTTACTGTGAAAGCATTGTTTTAATGTTCATAAATGTGAAATTTACACATTCAGTACTTTGTAAGGACTGAATTGTAGGGACTGAAGACGGAGTACACAGTAGTAGAGCGTTGGTAGATAAATGAATTGGGAATTAAGGCAATCAAATTCTCTTTGTTGAGTTCCCACAGACTTACAATTTCTCTTGAGTATGTTGATTAGTCAGGTGTTAATTATCCATACTTGTGTCTGTATTGGATATATGTAGTAGGAAGGGTGGCAGTGGAGATCTGCAAGAGGGATCCTCAAAACATTTCCTGCTCTGAGTTGTAAGTGTGAGCTGTGGGAACAGGAAAGGTTTTGCTAGAGAAGCCATCCCTGACCTCTCTTCCTCCCCCCCCAAGATCTAATTTCAGAGAAATGTGAGCAATGTGAGATGCATCTGACAAAACAGAGAAGGATAAACTGAAGCGATGTTCTCCAGAGTAGTATTGACAGAACAGAAGGCTTGGGTCCAAGCCCTGGTTCAGTACACAAAATAATCAGAGGCCTACACAAAATAATCAGAGGCCTGATAAGGTCTCTGTGAACCCTGTCATTTTTGAGCCAAATGACACAACTTCAGCTGCTGTGTACCTAGTTCCATGAACAACTTTGTGGCTTTACTCAACAGTCAACACGCAAGTGGTTTAAAAGGGATGAAGGCAAAGCTCTTCAGTATCTGCCACTTTGGATGTATGGATTGTCCTAGTTCAGGTTTTTTCCCCTTTCAGCAGGGGAGAGGAAGAAGCAAGAACTTAAAGGAGAAACTCATTAAACCATGCTGTTAAATCATGTTGCCAGTCTCAGTGAAAAGAGTTTGGTTTGTTGGATAAGTTTGTATCTGAAAAGCAGAGTGTTTGGGATCATATACTTGAACAGAATCTTGCAAAACATGAAAACTGTAGTGAGGAGGTTGTATTCCCTGGCCATGCGAGGTGTCCTTTTGAACCTTACAAAGAACCTTGATTTTTGTGGTTGTACAGCCGGGGTGGCCAGGCAGTTAGTGCAAGGACAGGGGCTTCAGGGTTTTCGCAAAGCATTGTTACTGGTTGATATAAGACATACTGTTTCAGCAGTGAAATAAGCTGTACTGGATAAGGCATTAATAAGCTAGTATGTATTTACAGCTTGGGTTTTTCTGCTATTCTTTAATTACCATTTTCCTTGTGGGTTTTTTTTTAAAAAAAAAGTCTCCTAGTAAAACAGTTCATGTATAGATGGGGCTTTAAAAAAAATGCTCTGGTACCTTTATTAATCTCCTTTTGTGGATCTCTGTTCCCAAATGAGTGCATGCAAACTTCTTATGACTCTAGCAAACAATGATTTTTTTTTTATGCATGAGACAAAGGATAGGATTGTTTTTTTTTTAATTCATCTCCCTTTCATGGAAAACTACTTAAATTACAATTTCACATTAGCATCAGAGAGAGTTAAGTTGTTGACTCATGGTGTTTTCTAAGGAGAATTGCAAACACAGGTTTTATGAAGGAATCACATGCCTTGACACTTGTGTAAACAAAGAAAATATTTCCTAGTCAATAGGTTCAGTTGTCATTAATGCCCTTGGAAAAAAACTGAAATCTTTACTTAAGTCTTCCTAAATCCCAATGTGTTTGATTAGGAAAATTTAGATATAGTGCCTTTTAGCCAACCTCAACATTATGTTTAATTGTGAAGCTTAACAGAAGGGACATTCAATTACCAAAGAGGAACAGCAGCAGAGAGAGAAATGGTTTGATCAGTCACTTTCCGGATCACTGATTAAAATGAAAATTGGGACTCATACACCTTATTCTTGGCCTGGTGCGCTTTTTCTGAGACTCAGTCTGACTACATTAAGATGAGTATATGCCAATTATAGGATAATTTATTTCTTCTTTATATATATGTGTGTGTGTGTGTCTATATGTGTATGTATATATACACACACATATCTGTGTGGGCGTGTAGTATTTTATTTTTGTCCTTCTGTTATGGAAGTATGGGAATGTTCTTTAGCAGCCTCTCTGTCCTGTTACTCTGTTTTCCCACCCTCTCTCTCATCCTTGCAGCTTCCTTCCCCCCACCCCCAAAAAAGTAGCTGATACCCATTGTTTTTAAGAGGGCCTAACTTAGTGGAGTCTTCGTATTTGCTAGTTCTGTAGACAGCTGTTTTAATTGTAAGTACTGAAATGGTAAAGAATTATATTGCTGTGTTTTCAGTCTATGGTGTCCTAATCCCCAGTGGCTTGTTCTCATCTGTCAGCTTCCTGCTTCCCATAAGAAAAATCTATCCACGGGTTTGTCTGATTTAGGACAACAACCTCTGAAGCATGGATGCCTCTGAAGTTTTTACAGGCAGAATTCCAAGTCCTGGCAGAACATGGGACCAGCAGATGGTCAGTCAGGGATTTTTGTCAGTGCGGGATATCGTCTTTGTGTTTACCCATCTCCTCACTACACATGATCATTGTAACAGTTTCTCAACCTTCTCTCCCTTCCCCCAGGCTTTGGGAACAGTCTCCCTTGCCTAATGCCAGAACTGCCCCGCTTCCTAATAATTCGTCCACAATGTGGAGCAACTGGAGACAAGTCTTCAGACTTTATTTATATGCCGTGCTGTGATTTGACACATCTGTGCAGCCATGACTCCTGACTCTGTCTTCTGTTTCAATTGTATTTTACAGATGCGGAGGAACGGTTGGTGCCATCTTTACATGTCCCTTGGAGGTAATAAAGACTAGGCTCCAATCTTCAAAGCTAGCCTTCCGGGCTGTCTACTACCCACAAGTCCAGCTGGGGACCATCAGTGGTGAAGGAATGGTCAGGCCAACATCCGTATCGCCTGGGCTCTTTAGTGTTCTCAAGTGAGTACTGCTCCTCCTGTCATTCAGTGTTGCTTGACACCAGTGATCTGAGTTTCAGTTCCTCTGTGCAAACAGGGAGTGCATATTTTGCTCCAGACTTGCACTGGAAGGATTTGTGTCAGATGGGCTTCCGCCTTCAGCAGTAGATAGAGAAATTACTCTTTTAAAAACACATGCATATTCAGGACTCCTGAGCGTTCCTTTGAAGTTCTACAGAAATTTGTTTCCGCTACTTAGAAACTTTGCAAAGTGAATTGATTCGAATAAGTGTCTGGAGGTGTTATTTTTAAATTGTCGCCTCGCATCTAGGCTTTTCTGTAGTTATGGCTTCCTAGGGATCAATACACAGGACGTACTGTCAACTCTTGATATGCCTTAGCTTGTGGGAACTATCACAGAAAATATTCTGGAGGAAAGGGCTTTTTCTCAACACTGAGAAGTGTCGTCTTTGTCTCTTGTTGAGAATAATCATGTTTACTGTCTCCTTTGAGCATTGGAAGAGGTAATCCTTACTAGCTGGGGCCAATTCTTGGCAAATGATTGAAGGACTGAATAAGCCATATACACTGTCTTTTTCTTTTTCCTGGACCTATTCCCAGTTTGCTTTCAGTAGCTAGCAGAGATACTCGTTGCTATTGCTGCCCATGCTATTTACCTGTTTGATGGAGGGAAGTTTTAATTCCTCTCTTGAAAAGTGTTCTCTTTGGAGCACCATGTCAAAGTGAGAGCCTGTAGCCTTTCCTTCACCTTAATGGACCAGGACTCTAACAAGGTTTCTGATTCTCTGCACTTCGGGATGCGTGTCAGCCCATGATCTGTCTTCAAAGCTGGCCCTGCTCTGAGCATGCATTTGAACCAGATGACCTCCAGAATTCTGTGTTCCCATATATTTTAAGTTATGCGTGTCTGCACTCCTCTGTGGATGATCTATAGCTGAAACACATGGGAGTAGAGGAAGGACACTTTTTGCAAAAGCAGTCTCACTAGAACATGTCTAATTGGGGTCTTCGATGCTTTTATCTTTTCCTCAGCTATAGGTGACGTAATGAGCTCTACTCTATTTGCTATTAGATGTTGTCTTTGCCAATTATTATTATGCATCAATCCTATCTATGTCTGCATTACTTAGGATCGCTGTTAAAAGCCTTCTGTGTGGTTCAGACTGCAGCAGTTGATGCTCCAGCTGTTCCCTTTTCAGATGTGCATTCATAAAGAAGAGGAAATGCGAAACTATCAAGCTTACAACTGCTGAATAGTTTTACCAGCAACTCTGAAGTCCAAATCTCTACTAGTGTATTTTATATTAAAGCACCGTAAACTTACGGTTCAGACCTCATGCAAATGGCTTGAGTTTATTCGGATCATTGGGTGGCACGCCAGGGTGATGCAGAGAGGTCCGGTTTAGATCAGGTAGCAGAAATGCTGAAGAAAATAACTACTAGCAAAGCAAGTTGTATGGTTTTATGTAAGGCCAACATGCTTGGCAGATTGCCTGGGGAGAGTCTGCACAGTTATATAACAGTACAGTGCTAATTCAAATTCTCTGCAGAACTATCTGGCTAGAGTCATTCTGGGACTTGAGTTTCTGTATTGTAAACAGTGCTTCTTTCCCCTGCCAAACACTTCTTTGTCTATTCAGAGGTGAGTCTAGAGCAATTCGTGACTGAATGTGTAAGGTAGTGCCAGTTGCCTTTGATTTTTCATCTCCTTTCCCTTGCTATCTTTTCACCTTGCAGCATTGGACTTTAGGCAGCTGTAACTAAAGGAAGTGAAAACTTCAAGGCACAAGGCTTTTAATTCATCCTCTTGGCCCATCTTTTTCTGGGGTTGTCTTTTTTTTTTTTTTTTTTCTTTTTTTAGGGAGAGAGGAAATGGTTTAAAAATGGGTCAACCTTTTAATATATTTATTAAGCTCATTAAATTTGGTGGCTATGATCTTGATTTCATTTCACTTCAGGAATTGCTCAGCTGCATGTATCACCAGGTTTTTGACCTGCTTCAGAGGACTGAGAAGTCAGAGCAAAATAAAAATAGCTGTCATTCCCTTGCAGGCAGCATCTATGAAGAGTAGATAATGCTATTGATAATGATCTTTCTGATAAAAAACAAATGTATGAAGAAAGAAGTGAAGTTAGGTCTCTTGCTTTTACTCCTCCATCCCTTTCTCAATCCTGGTTACGCATGTGTTGCCAAACTGGGTATGACTTGGGCCTTCTGGTTTGGGAAAATTGTATGGCTAAAGAAGCAGCCATTAGAGCCCTACATATAAAATTGTTCTGTATGAGTTAAAGGTGTTGAGTATGAAAACCCTTTAACTGCTGTAAATAGAAAGAAGGTATGTACTCAGGAGGGCAGGTTAAGCCTGCTGCTGATTAGAAAGCACTCCAGAAGGACAGGCTGTTTTTGTCTAATCCATTTAAGATTGTGATGAGTCACCCCAGCTGGAATCTGCAGTCGTGACTGCTAAGTGACAAAGAACGAGTCGTTGGTGGATCTGTCTCCTTGGAGACACTCAGCCCTGGAGTTTACACAGAAGTTCAACTCTGCTGCAGAAAAAGTGTTTCAGAAGCTCCTATATCTTCTTCTGCCTAATGAGCTTGGGTTTGGAATCATGGGGAACGTTCTCAACAGTGCTAATGACCTAGAAAGCAAATTCTAAAGAACTGGCAGATCCAACAGGTGCATGTGAACTACCCGTGGAGCCTGGTGTTATCTGGATTTTCTTGCATGGTTTTCACGTGGTGAGTTCAGTTAAGAGGGCTGCTGTCTAACAGATTGTGTGCTGAAATCCCAGTAATTGCTGGACTATACCTGGCTTTCACTGGTAAATACTTGGCTGTTTACTAGTGTTTGGCTGTTGTTTTAGTCCCTGTAAATACGTCTGCTGTTAGTAGTGCAAGGAATTTGTAAGGTAAGTCTTTTTTAATGAGGCATTTCAGCAAGGTGTTATATAGAACTTGGCAGCTGCTGGGGAAGCTGTCCAAGCAGTTTATCTTCAGAGAAGTCCTAGCCCACGTGTGCCTTCTAAGGTGTGAGGGAAGATGGGCAGAAATAGCTTTGGAAACCTGGGCTGTAGCAATTGCAGAATTGCAGGAAAGCAGCATTTGGTGATCTTCCTGCTTTACACCTGACCATGAAGTCCAGTCCTGACAGAAATTCACAGCAGTACCTCTGTAGTTGAGATTTACTTGGGAAAGATAATATGAACTCTTCTAAATGCCCTCAAAATGAGATATCCCTGAACTACTTGGGGAGACATAGCTTGTAGTATGGTTGTCACATTCAGCTTTTACTCTGGGGAAAAAAAGCGCATCACTAGGGTAATTATGAAAGGGAAAATAATTTCTTTTTTTTTTTTTTTGTGTCTCTATACAAGAAGCGAACTCCTGAAATACTTAAATACAGAGAATGCCAAAAATATTCTTTGTTCATCAAAGTCAGCCATCACTGGATGCTCCATGAAACTTTAATTCAATTCCTGACAGCTTTCGAAGAATGGAAATTATAACCTAGTGCCATATGACACCCATTGGTCTGTAGCACACTGACGTTTTATGGTATAGTGGCTTTTATTCAGTAGTATATGATTCTGCTAATTTTCAAGTATATTACGTAGTTTAAAAGCTAACTGCTTCACAATTAATATTCACTGCTTTTGTGCAGTTCTTTTGACTGACTGACTGACAGAACAAGAAGCATAACTTTTAACCTAAATACTATGTTCTTTTTTTTTCCTGTTTGTTTTTATTTTAAGGTCAATTCTGGAAAAAGAGGGACCAAGGTCACTCTTCCGAGGGCTGGGTCCAAACTTGGTTGGAGTTGCACCATCAAGGTAAATAGTTAAACTATTGCTGAAAGACACATTGAAGGTACCAACCCAAATGTTGCAGTGCATTTGTGATTTCAGAAAAATAGGTCATGAAGTTATCCCATCTGTAAACAGATATTTCTGCATTTATACTGCACAGTATACATACCAAGAAATACTTCTAAAAATCTATTTTACACTTGGATAACATTGGAAGGTGCAGATTAAATAAGGCACTTAAATTCCAAGTCATTGCAAGAGCCACTCACCACGTGCTTGAAAAAACAAGAGAAAGTGGTGCAGAAAAATCTGTGGGATTAATATTTGCATTTTTCTAATACAGTCTGCTACCTCCCTGTGAATACATAAAAGTGCTTGCCAAACACTGAGTAGGAGCTGGGTGCCAGGGGAGAGGAGTACCTATCTGGTCCTTGATTGCCTAAATTCTTCTCAAATGAAAAACTGCAGCTGAAGGGGAAAGACGTGCATTGCTGCCACATAACCCTGAAGGGGTATGTGTCCCCTTTCTTTGTTTGTTTGTTTTTGAAATGGCAACAAAAGTCACTACAAAGTTTGTTTGTATTTGGAAGTCTTACAGGCACCTAAATGGTTTCCACATATACTTGTGACTGTCCCGTTCTTGGCAAGGCTGAAGATCTTTGTGCCTGGCAAATGTTAAAACTTGTTAGCAATTGGGAAGTTGGCAGATGTTCTCTGCCTGAAATTGAATCAGTTAAAAAGGAATTTGAAGAGTGGTGTACTCCCTCTCTGGCCTCTTGCCGAGTAGGTAGGATGTTCCCCCTGGAAGTGGGGAATCCTATTTCTGTACAGGTAATCTTTGCAGCAAGGGTCTGAATCCAAGACTGACTGCTTTTTCATGCAACTCATTCATGCTGTCTTTTGTGTTCCTTCATATTATTCCATAAGATTGGAATAAGGTACTTTATGGAAATTTTCAAACTGTAGCTACCAATATCCAGCTTTTTCTAGCAGTTCACTTCAAGGGGCTGTGACCTGAACATACTTGGTTCAGACAGCTTCTTAATCACCATATTGACGACTCTTGCAGATCAGCTGAGCTTCCTCTGCTCCTATGCATTATGTAGGGATTTGAGGTGTGTAAAAACTTTTTCATTTCAGTCCAGGGTTAAGTGTTTAAAGCGTGATGTGTTGCTAACGCAATTACAGTGCTGAAGAAATTTATGGAAAACATAGGCTATGGGTGGGAAAGTGACATTCTCAAGTTTATGAAGTGTGTTGAATGCCAGAGCTGGTATAGGTATCTGATCTGACTTGGTCTGCAAGACTGTGTTGCCTCCCATCTCAGAATTGGTGTGACAGTGAAATATTTCTACCCAGTGTCAAGTCAGATAGTGGCACTGTAGTGTAAGGAGGAAAAAAAGAAAAAAAGAAAAAAAAAAACCAAACCCAAACAAACAAAACCAAACCAAACAAACTGTGTCCTTGTAGATGGAAGTAGTCATGTGGAGGCCTCTTTGGAAAGAAAATCTTGTTTTCCTGTGGGCAGGGGGAAGAATAGTAAAGTGTCTAATTTGCTGTTGTGTGTATTGCATTGATTCTCTTACTCTTTTTTTTTTTTTTTTTTTTTTTCCTCTCCACAGAGCTGTCTACTTTGCATGCTACTCCAAAGCCAAAGAGCGATTTAATGGCATTTTTGTGCCCAACAGCAACATTGTGCACATCTGTTCTGCAGGTTCTGCAGGTATGTATTTGTAATTCATCTTCGGTATGGTCTGCAGCAATAGCCCAGTGTCCAGCTCTCCGCCAGCAGCAGGCAATACATGCATTGGTATCTGTGAGACTCTGAGATGCACCTTAATTTTTTAAAGTATTTATTCCAAGCTGTTGTTGCTCCAAGACTTCTTCTATCCCTCTCAGTAGTTAGGAAACTAATAGAATGAATCATAAGGTGGGGACTGGACTCTCAGTCTGTCTGTACAGGACCTAGGCTAACACACCAGTCTTGGCTGACAGCTCTGGGTAATCGTGGTGTGTGAATGAGTACAGAGGCCGGTATGTGGCGCATTCGGAAAATGTACGCTTAATTTGAGATTGTATATGCCAGAAAACAGGAGCTTGCTAGCTCCTAACTTGTCTACAGAGGAACTGTTTTCTTGTTCAACACTGAAATATTTCTAGATTGTTGTTTGCTAACTTGGGATGAACTTTTTTCCCAATTGCAATGCTATGGTAATGTCTCTGAACGTAAGAAAAAAAAATAATAGTAGACATGAGCAAACTTTTAGTACTCTTTTAGCCAAATTGTTTTAGGATGTTGTATTTTTCCTACCAGGGTAGGAAAAATAGTTTGTTCTTGTAGGAAAATTACTGCAGAAGAGCTCCACTAGTTCAAGCATCAGTCACCAGAGTGATCATTAAAAATAATCTTTCCCAAACTAATCCCTTAATTATGGGTGGGTTCTATTAATGAGCTGGCTCAATGGCACCACCTAGAGCTTTGGGGAAAACAAAAGACTAATACATATGTGTGTTCCTCGCAGGTTTCCTTTTTATTCTAAAACCCAGGCAGTAGTAAGCTATCTTGCCTACAGCAGTCTGTAGTACATATGAAGTACATATTAAAATAGGTGCAAAAAGGAAGAATCCTTTAAGAAATTCCTAGGCCGCTGGTCAACACCTGAAGTTTAACATGAAATGGTTCTCTGGCAAGAGAGAGACTGTAAGCTGCACACCTGCATGTCTTTTGAAACCTCTAGGTAGAGCTGGTAACACCTCTAGATAGGGCTGGTAACTAGAACTGTCTCACTGCCCAGTGTATAAAGTTCATGTTTGCCATGGCAATACACCGGCCTGGATTCAGCTTTTGGTTTTCTTTTCTCTTTTTCAGCCTTTATCACAAATTCCCTGATGAATCCTATATGGATGGTGAAAACCAGAATGCAACTGGAACGGAAGTAAGTAACTGATTGAGGGAAATTGGACACCACTGGGTGGCTAAGGGAGCCTCTAGAAAACTGAACTTTCACGGGTTTACTCATGGCTCTTTGATAGATCTTGCCCAGTTGTTTTGCTCTCAATTCCACCTTTCAAGCCACCATGCTTCTGCCTGGTCAGATGAAAGGTTAAGGTTCTGTGTATCCTACTTCGGTTTGATGCACAGTTACTATTGAGAAGGATGTGGAAGTTGCCTTGAGTGCTGAGTTAGGTTCAGTTTCTGGTTTCACTGTAAATCTTAAGTAAAGTTGGGCATAGCATTAATTTTCTCTCAGATTCCTGCTTACAGAATTTTCTGTACTTCAGGGGTTGATGTTGAGGGTAAATATTTCAAGGACTGAAGTGCTTTGATAGAGCAATAATAGAGGCTATGGAAAGGTCTGAAGAGCTCACGTGGGAGGCTGAGGATGAGGTTGCAGTCTGTGTCCCACTTGGCAACATCACTGGTACTGATCCTAGATCATACAGATGTGTGCGTTGCTGCAACGGACCAAGGGTACTGATACACAGCCACGTAGCTGTAAACAGAAGGGCTGATGTTTTTAAATTGTAATGAAGCCGCAGTAGTTTCATAAAAGGTTCTAGGGGAAATAAGAATCTGTTGCAGTGGTTTAATGTTCTTTTGCTTCCTTCAGCATTGTATTACTGTTAACCAGACCTCCTGAAAACAGAGAGGGAGTTTGACAGTAATATCTTTTAGTTGAGCGATTCACAGTCACTGGTGGATATCGAAGCAATGAGCAACTCTGCTAATAATGTGACTGCTTAGAATGGAAATTTCTTCCTCCAAGGACGTGTTAAGTCAGATAAGAAGGATCCTTTTAAGGCACCACAACTTATAAATAATTTATCACACTTAATTTCAGCACTTCACAGGGTGGCACCTTTGAACTGAGTGCTGCCTCTTAAAATGAAGGATCATTTCTCATGTAGCAGACCTCTGTCTCTTGGCCTGCTGAAGATGGCTTTAAATGAAATTACTAGTTTAAGACAAAGCAGTGTCTCTTCAATGCTTATTGTCTTTTAAAGCATTGGTGTGAACTGTGACAGGCTGGATAGAACTTGAGCTGAAAAAATTATGACGAGTATTAGTGAATTAACAAAGCCAAGTGTGCACTCTTAGCATGATAGTACTGCTCTATGCAGCTTCCCTACAAGATTTTTGGATTAAAACTTAGCAGAGAACCATTTGTGTAGTTATAGAAACTACGGAAAGCCAAGAGGTTTTTTTAGTATTAAAAATTCTTTTTCTGTGCTCATTATATACTCTGTTCTGTTTGTTTTTCAGAGTCAGGGGTTCAAAACCAATGAATGCTTTGCAGTGTGCTAGATATGTTTACCAGACAGAAGGTATCCGTGGCTTTTATAGGGGCCTGACCGCCTCCTATGCTGGGATTTCAGAGACCATTATCTGCTTTGCTATTTATGAAAGTTTAAAAAAGCACTTAAAGGAAGTCCAACTGCCCCCTTCCCCTCCTAATGGGACCGAAAGGAACTCAACAAACTTCTTTGGACTGATGTTTGCTGCTGCTGTTTCCAAGGGCTGTGCCTCTTGTATCGCTTATCCACACGGTATGTTAACTTTTCCGTTTATGACTGCAGTAGAACAGCTGTTGCCTGTAATCCAAGACAAATGATGGGGTTTAGGGCTGTAAAATTCTTAAGTCATTTGAATGGCCAAATGCATGTTACTGTGGCACGTGCATCTGCATTGGCATTTTCAGTGCTGGTCCCACCATTCCTCGTTAGCCACATGGTTGGTGATTGGGACTTGCTAGTTTAAAAACAACTTGAAAAATGTCAAAAAGAAATGGAATGCCTAATGATCTGTTCTCACTAGCAGCCTCATCTAGCTGAGTACCCACAGCCCTTGGGATTCTGTGATCAAGTGGTGGGAAACACTTGTGGGCTGAGCAGTATTATTCTTTTTGGGTAGATGTGAATGTTATCGTGGTTACATAGAAAGAGCAATATTGATTCTGTGAGCATCAGTGAAGCATTTAGTTCTGTAATAGCTTGAATGAGCAAATAATCCATTTATTCCACATGAAAGGGAACTCATCTTTAACTTTGCTTCTTGCCTGAAGGGCAATGTGTACAGGATTCCATGGCTGAAAGTACTGGCAGGCAATTGGTACAGGAAGGTTTTCGTGTCCCTGGGTTTTGCATATGCTTTCCTGGCAGTGGCATGTTTCTCAACAGGAAGGTTTAAACTTTGTTAACTTTGGGCTCTGTTTTACTTTTCTGCAGAGGTCATACGGACACGGCTGCGAGAAGAAGGCACTAAATACAAGACTTTCATTCAAACAGCACGTCTGGTAGCACGTGAAGAAGGCTATCTCGCCTTCTATAGAGGACTCTTTGCCCAACTCATCCGGCAGATACCAAACACAGCCATTGTGTTGTCCACCTATGAGTTAATTGTGTATCTGTTAGAAGACCATGCAAAGTAGCAGAGCCAAGACTCCTGTTACAGACTGTAGACCAACTTCTTTGTTGAACACATAGTCCTGTAAGAGACTGATGCAGGTGGCAGTGCTGGTGGAAAAACTGCAAGTCTGTGACCACCTGCTGGATATTTCCTTTTGGATTCATGCTTTCTGAAAGGTCTCAAGTCATTAACGTTAATAGTTAATTATAACTTTTTTTTAACTTAATGATAATTAAACTGCTACTAAATTAAATCACACTATTTAATTTAAGTATATGTTTGTCCTTTTCCTTAAGCACAGCCATATGTGGTCAAGGAATGTACCTCATACTTGGACTGATGTTCATTAAAACTGTATTAAAACAGGAGAAGAACTGGTTTGGAAGTTTGAAACTTTTGTCTTCTTACCACTGGAGTCAAGTCACTTTTTAGCACTGTAATAGCCTAATGCACAAATAACTTGGAGAGTTGTTCTGGTTTATTCAAGGTGCGTCGTTCATTGCTGTGTGAGTACCCTGGAGCGTTCAAGTAGGACTTCTTGGAGTATGTTTCTCTGTTTTGATGGTGTGAAATATGCACACCAGAACCTCTTGGAAAAGCCACTTACACTGGCAATATTGCTGGAATATGGTTGTGCAAGGCTTCTAGTAAAAATTTAATTACAGTACTGTGTGTACCTCTGCATCTGGGATACAGGCTTATGCTAGTGTGTGTAAACAGGTCTGTCTTGGCTTTTAGACCTTGCTTTTGTGAAGGACTGAGAGCGTAAGGACAGTCAGTGATTGTGGCCTGGCTGTCCTGTGGAAATTCCTTGAGATGGCAGTAACTTGGCCATGTATCCTGACCTCAGCCTTTTACTACGATGGGGCTTTTTTGTGTTACGCTTTCCTTATACTTCCGTGTTAGGGATCTGGAGAGTGGAAGAGAGGATAAGGCAGGTCCTCAACACAGACTAGAAATGCAGTTCTGGCTTCTGCTTTACAATATGATACTCGGGAATATGTCCCTCTTGGTTTGATGTCCTTGTAGAGCAGTGCTTATGTCATGGACATGTCACTGGAGTTAACGTGAAAAAAATCCACAGCCTAAGTAAAGCGTTTCTTTATGTTATTACTTGATTTCTCACTGAAGGAAATAAGGATTCGCCAGCTTAGTGCAGCCTGTTGGAGTTCTCGCGTTTCATACAGATATGATATCTGCCTTCCCCTTCAAAGACACAGTGTCAAAGGGGTATTTTTCAACAGTAGTCATGAATCAGTTCTTACCTTTCAGTTATAAATCAAATATGCTGCATACTTGAGATTAGTCCTTTCATAAATATTAGAATATGCCTTTAATGTTAGTAGTCTCTTTACCACTTGTATTGCAGCAATACCTTGCGATTAAAGTATTGTACATTAATAATTGCTGATAGTGCATGATAAAATACTTTAGAACTCAAATGGGTAGGTTTGTGTTTTGCTTTGGCCATACTATGCTCTCCTATTCATTAGTGTCATTTGCTTTGGCAGCTGAGACAAACACTACAGCATTTGAGGCCAGCTTCAGTCTTCCCTGCTGTTGAGCTGAACAATGAGCTTCTCATGATTTGAGCAGGTGTTGAGTTCTTGAGCATAAACAAGTGTTTACGGACATCTTTGACTTCAAGGACCATATAGAGCGGAGGTGGTGTTTGGACTTGGAAGGATCATGCAAAGCATTAAGAAACAGCCTAGTAGTGAGTAGGGCTGTCTGTCTTATAAAAAGACAGTTTTCAGGTTAGTGTTTTGTTGCAGAAATATTGCAGAAATACATCAGGGTTGATAACTGGATGCAAACCTTCATGTTTGTTCTCATTAGAACCCAGTTGATGACTGGTACTTGAGGTCATATTTGACATCAATGTGATGGAGGAGCATAGTGCAACGAGGGTAGAATGTGTATATACCTCATGATGAGGCAAAACTGCAAAAATAACTGATTTCTATTATATCTTACTGAAAAGAACATATCACGTTACTCCTAAGCTAAAATAGGAAACAGCTGAGTAACTAAAAACTGGCATGGCTTTTTTTCGGGAGACGATGAGCAGCAAAAGCTTTAGTCTCTTTATAGGAGTCAAAATTGTCATACAGTGCTGTTTCTATTTTTGAGAACTAGGACACTTGTGCTGCTACTTTGAAACGTTTTCTGAGATTTGCTTTCTTAAATTAGTATTCCTCTGTACTTGCAGTACACTAGCTCACTTTTAAAATGTTAGTCAAACGTGTAGACTGCTGATACCTTTTGAGAATGAGGGGAAGGAACTCAAACCCTTTTGAGGAGTTTGGGACTTGGTAAGAGAGAAAGCAAGAGAAAGTGAACAAATCCTTGTTCTGCCTAAATCTGATGGAAAATCAGTAATTCTGCTGGATTTTTGGTTTTTTTCTTTAAGCTTTGCTACCAATGCTGACAGAATTAGTCTTAATTTGATAGGGGGTTAATAAGCTATATTGGGAGCTAATAGAATTTCTAAATTAGTGTTGTTTATTCCTTTGTCCTTCCTCTCTACCAGAATTTTTAAAATTCACTAACCCTTGATTCCTTAACCCTGGAAAGAGTTAAAATTTTTTAGGTGATGCTCTGTGAGCAATCCCATTTATGTCACTGGAATAAGCCTATTACCAGAGGGAAGAATTTGAAGTATTTCAAATAAGTATTTCTGGTTGTGAAAGAAAAATCATGGTTCATTCCACTTCAACTTCCACAGAAAGTCAATTCCATGGAAGGTAGGTAAATTTGTTACTGGTTAGAATTTCCTGGGTGGTTTCCCTCCAGGTTTAGGCTTCATTACTAGACCCTTTGTAGCTTAATTATCAGTAAGGTGATGAAACTATGGTCTTATCTGAAGTAACCACGAAGTTTCCATTAACTGAGTCTGTTCCTGTTCATAAATTAACACTTAAATTGAAATTACAAACACTCTGTTGCTACAATAGTATGAGCTACTCATGTAGATCATGTACTTTGGGAGAATTTCTTAGGCGTTTGAAGATGTAGTCATTAATCTTCTCAAGTCCTTACACTATAAGACTTACTGCCTCCCTTTAGGTACCCATGGTTGCCTTGATACCCCTCAAAATTATCTGCATTTACTGATGGTTGTGATACATGCTTGTATTGTGATTGTGCCCCTCACCGTGATTTATAGTTGTTTTGCACAAGTTCCTCATTAGCCTCTTTAAGGAGGAAACTTTTGGTAAACAATGCATCTGTGGTTGGTCTCATACTACAGATAGAGTTGATAGGAAGGGAGGGACTTCTGTAGAAAAAATACACAAGCTCTCAAGTACAGAAGTCCTAGAGGACTTGCGGAAGGACCTGATGCGCCAAATGACTGGGTGGTTCTTCCTCCTTTCCCTGTCACTTGGTCTCATAATCCCTAAATAATTGAGCTAAGCAATGGAAGAGAAAGTGAAAAATTATGCCCCCCTTGCATTTATCAAGAGGAAATAGTCACTTTTACTACTTATAATTAATTTCCATGGTTAAATCTGTGGAGATAGAAATGGAACGGTTAAGACCCCAGTAACAGTTAAGACAAGCTTAAAAGTACAGCTTACTTCCAGTATGAATATTTGTCTATGAAGAGCTTTTCCATTTGTGGCTTTTTAAAAACATAATGTTGACACAACTTGGTTCTCCTGAATTTTAAGCAGTTCTCTCTATTGTGCTGAGAGGTTTTTTTGTTTTTAACCAGGAAAACAGCTAGGCACTTTGCAGTCAGTCTTGTATTTTGGAGAGGTCTTACCCCTTACCTTCATGTAAAAGCAGCGCACAACTGTCAAACCACCAACTCTAAGAACCAGTGAATCTCACCCATGCGTGCTGAGAGGGGCAGAGCGTAAATGGGTGTTACTTTGCTTTCTAGGGGAGAGCTTCTGAACAAGTCTGACCTAGGAACCACTCCCAGCAGAGATACGGGGGCTTTCTGCAAAATTGTGTTGTTTATTAATCTATGCAGAGAGAGGGAAAGTCTAGAGCAGCAGTCTTCAACTTCTGGCTCACAGGTAACAAGCTGCCCACAAAGCCCTGTGCTTGCAGTCCTGCTCTACTTGCCGTACTAGCCCTTGGCTAAAGTGAGATGTTCTTTGCAGCGCATGGCTTGCTGAGTAAGGTTGATCGAGGACGACAAAGGGGTGATAACCCGTGCTCTAAAATCAGTGGGGAAGGTATAGTAGTGTAACTGGAGGGATGTCCCATTTTCCCCAGACAACTGGGTGGTTTGGTGCAAAAGTACATCCTGATAAAGACCCATTCTCTTGGAACTGTCTCTTCTTCCTCTGCCCATTTTGTTTCCGTAATTTGCCAAAACATCTCTCCTTTTTCCCCACAAAAATGTATGTTAAATTTAATCGCCCATTCTATGCTGTGTTGTAGACCCCGTTGTTTCCAGTTTCGCTTGTGCAAGTGGCCCTTGGAGGGGAATCCTGAGGTGGAGGTGTAGCTGGTAAAGCCCTGCGCCAGGCTCGGGCCTGTAGCAGCGTCCATCCTTCACCGGGGGCTTCTCGGCCTCGCGCTCCGCCAGGGCCGCCACCTATAAGGGCTGGAGCTGCTTTTGTAATACAGAACGGGCCGCGTCTAAATTTAGGGAAAAAAATAAAATAAAAA